AAATCACACAGCTAGCTAGGGGCTGAGCTTGGATGAAGGCACGTCTCTTGATTATTGAGAGGGATTCTTTCTGTTACTCCACATAGTTTTCATCTTTCTCCTCCGCTTTCAGATCTTACCTTCCCAGCAGGACTCTGGTATCCTCATCTTGTCCCATCACTGTGTTCTACTGACCCTGCCATCCTTTATCAACCTCCTGCATCTTTCAAATCAAAGCACTCCATCCCATTTCTCCCGTGTCCTATTCCTGGAGGTCTTCCCAGGGCTCATTGTTGAATCTAAAGAGCCAATATGGAACTGAGTATTGATGACTGTTCATGGCTCTGTATGTTGCTCCTTGTCTAAAGTAGCTGGAATGCCTCATCTCATATGGACAACTAATCACAATATTTCTAACAGTTAAATTTATTGACATCTCACTATGTGCCAGACACCATGCTTAAGGATTTTATATAAATTATGTCACGGATATTGTGTGCATTATGTCATTATCTCATTTGAGTAATGAGTTATAAGGAGCAATCCCAGTGAGTGATATATTTAGAGACAGGTGGAGTTATCATGCCCCGTTTTTAGTGATATCACTCAGGCAGTAGCCTGATGCCCTGGGCATGGAGCCAACTGATGAGAGGAGCCTGCTTTTTCTTCCAGCTTCTTCAGCTCTCTGCCTAGTGAGTCCTCTGTGCATGCAGCTGAATTCTCAAGCAATGGAAATCACTGCCTGAGTGGAATTGCCAGAGCTGCTCTTCTGGACAAGATTCTCAGAGCTGGGGCTGCTAATTCCAGGGCTCTGAAACTCATTGTTTGCCAATGACCTGGGGAGCAATAACCAGGCTACAGAACACTGTGCATGGCCTAAGTGGGGAAGTGCCTAGAAAAGAGGACCTTGATGCAGAGCTTTTGATGGCTTTCTACCCATTTGCAAATTGCCTTATACCTGTTCTCTTGCTTTGCTAGAGCAAAAACAAAAGAAAACAGAACTATCACATAACAACTGTCAAAACAAAAAAATCCAAGTCTCATGAACTTTCTATAGTGCCATTATTGTAGCTCCAGTTTGAAATGATTACTTTAGGATTTGTTAATATCTACAGTGAAAATCCAATATGGAAACATCATCATCTGCACAGCACTTCATGGTTTAAAAAGCAGCACACTACAGCAACTTTGACTTTCAAAGCTAAATGTTTTGGGGACTTGTCTATTAGGTGCACGTCTTAAAAGTTAGGGTGTCAGATGTGGGGTTCAAACACTTTGCTCCTCAGGGAGAAGCTTAGGGTTGTGAGTTCCCTCTCAATTATGAGTCACCACTTGTGGGTTTTACTTGTTTGCCCCATGTGTAGGAGTTACTCAGCTAGTTTTGGGGATTTTTTTTCAGATGAAATTGTTCTGTACTTAGCTGTGGATTTGGTGTATCCATGGGAGGAGGTGAGTTCAGGACCCTCCTACATTGACATCTTGAACTGGTCTATAGTAACTTTAAGAAGAAAGGTATGGGGAAACCAAAACTATAAGCAATTAAATAAATTACTGAAGGCGTATGTTTGGGCCAAATCCAAATACAATGCTCTGTTCTTATGTTACTTTGGAAAAATCAAGTCACGAGTATACAGAGGTTTCTTATGGTGCACTAGGAGTGGATGATTTTATATTGAAAACAACTTATTTAGTGCCTTTTAAGAGTGTGTTCAAAACTCTCAGGATGCTCTGCAGTGCCTTATTTGGAACAGTGACTAACAGGACCTATTTAGACAATGCCCAATCTCCTACAATATGTGTACTAATTTCTGTTGTCCATCTTTTTATTATCTGATTCATCTATCATTGTATTGGAAAAGTATAATATGTGGACTTCTGCAAAACCACTTCCCTTTGTACATGTATGTGTGGTTCAGTGGAGTGAGACTATAAACAAAGACATTAATTAAGTCATTCCACAGATGTACAGTGGACCTGATCATCTGAGCCAGCAAAGCGTAAATCATCCACTGGAGCTCAAAGGTGTCAGTCATCACCTCACTTTGTGTCAACGATGAGCTAAGATCATCCCTCAGACTAGAATCAGAACTGAGTGGGAGGGTCCGAGTGGGTGAGGAATGTTTTAAACGGGGGTTTTTAAGTTTGGGGTGTTTTTACTAAGAGGATGAGGTTTTAGCTAGATCAGCTCCTTGATGTGGGATAGATGATACTGCAAGACATACAGGAAGCCTGAAGGAAAGGGTCTCTGGAGAAGTGTCTGGGCATTAACGTCAATCTGTCTAGGTTGGACCATGGTTAGTTATCTTAGAATCTTAATTGTTATATTAATATGGTAATATTTGAGACCTTATAAATTTCTTTGTGTCATTTCTTTGTGTCAAAAGTGATATCACTTGGAATTTTTAGGGATCAGAAAATTGTATTTTTAAGAAGTGATAACTTTTGTGCTATTCATATATTTTTACTTGTTTTCTTTAGTTTTATATAGGACCCAAGAGCAGAAATGATAAAAGGAGATTTTGTCCCCAAGTTTGATCAATATCTTCTTGGGGACCAGATATAATAAAATATTTTCTTAGGAACTCTTTTCTGCTTAAAACTGGATGACTTTTGTTTAAATAAAGGGTTTATTTCCTTCAGTTCCCTCCCTAGAATTACAGTTAGAGAATTTAGCATGGAGAATTTCTAGTTCAGGATAAGCAACTCTGTGGTACAAATGCCTCTACTCCCTCCTCCCTTGCTCATGGTAGACTTCAACAAATGAGCATATTTTCCCATTGAGCTGGATGTGTGTAGGTAGTAAAATAATTCCACTTTTACAGATGAAGAAACAGAAATTTGAAAGTTAATAACTTTTCTAAGTCTCTGTGACTCTGAAGCCATTATTCTCCAAGGAATCATTACTAATTGATCGGAGTTCACAACTAATATGAAAATTATTTGCCATCCATGATCTGGTTCAATCTCATTGTTTTTCGTGAAAGGCAAGAAGAGTTTAGAGAATTTGAATAATGCAGGTGAAAGTGCTTTGCAAATTTGTAAAGAATGTTGAAGATATTAATTGTTTTTATCAAGGACACCAGCTCTGTTAGTTTACAGCAATTCTCAAACTAGTGTGCAGCAGAATCACCTGGAAGGTTTGTTAAAAATGCAGATTGCTGGGCCCTACGCCCAGAGTTTCTGACTCAATAAGTTTAAGGGCTGGCCCAAGAATTTGCATTTCTAACAAATTCTCATATAATGTTGATGCTGCTGGCCCATGAACTGCATTTTGAGAACTGCTGGTTTACAGCATTCCTGAATTCAAATGAAACTTTTCTTTGTTCTCTTTCTTAGGTTTCTAAGGCTAAGGTTTCTAAGGTTTCTAATTGTTTCTAAGGCTCAAAAATATTTTGTAAAGTACAGTTTTTCTTTTATCTCTAGTGAATAAACTTTAAGGCAACAGCAGAGAATCAAACTGTTTTTTATATGTTTCTCTACTGCTGTCAAGCCGCCCTTCTTGCATATTCAGTGAAATGTTCATTGTGATCAATGCAAATGTGTAACCATTGGGCAAGAGCCAGCATGGAGTTTAACACTAATTGGAAGAAAAATCAAACCTAGGTATATGAGAAAAGAATTAGTCAGAGGCCAGGATAAAGATGGAGTAGGTCACAGGAAGCTAGAAAATAGGAACCATTTGCAAATGGATATGTCAGCCAAAGCTTGATGTAGGGAAGAAAGCGGAGAGATTTGGGCACCAAATAAGACAATACCTCAAGGGTTCATGAATTGATCTGCTGTGGACCCATCCCTTGTGCCTGAAATAAGATCAAATCTTTGGCTCAAATATTTGTAGGGCCACCATATGAAATGGGAATCAGACTTTTCTAAGGAGGCTTCAGAGAGCAAAACTAGCATCAGTGAGCCAAGTTTTGGAGAGCCAAATTCTGAAAGAGCTTTCAAACAACCATTGCATCTGAAGATGGGTGCGGCTGCCTCTGTAGCGCAGACTTTCCTAACACTGAATTGTCTAAGCAGAGTCAGGTGACCACTGGGAAAGTAATTTAAGCAACAAATGTGGAGGCGAGACTTGGAGACCTGGATATTAGATTAGTCTCAATTTTTCTGGGACCAGGGGAACTCGAGGATACTCTAATTTAAAATAAGAATAAAAATAAAATGGCAGACAAGGTGAGACTGACTTCATTGATGTCTGGAAAGAGGCTGGGCTTTAGACTGTCCCAGGACTCAGATCAACTTGCAACCCCACATTTCCTTGCTGCCCTCTACCCTCTTGGAGATGCAGTCTCATCATGTGCAGAATGAGTGCAGAAGCAGCTGCCTCAGAATGTCCTCGTCAGCATTAAATGATGTGTCATATGGAAATTCTCCCTGACACACAGTAGGAGTTTAATAAATGTTCATTTTCTCCTCTCTCCCTTTTAGTAAGGTAGAGAGAACTTGACCCAGGGAAAGGCTGAATTTAGGAAATCCAAAACTATGGGGTCTCTAAGATCTTGCTCTGAACAGTATATTCACAAAGGATGGTGAACTTTGTATCTTCATCTGCACTTGTCTACATTTCCTTCCTTGAGAGCTTTCACTTACTTTAATAGCAGTTTCTTGAACAATGCCCTGAATTGAAATCAGTAGGAATCGACGAGTTTTGATAAGTCAGACAGAAAAGAAGAGATTAGGGGCTCAAGATCCTTTCTCCAATAGGACACCCTGTCCCCTAATGCTCAGTGGCAAAAGAGAGCATTGATGGCAGCCCAGACCCTCCCAGCACTGGTCAAGGCAGACGGAAATCAAAGCAAAAGCTGAGACAAATAGTTAGGATGTTCAGGTCAAAAGCTTATACATACTAGATGAATGTGGGTTTGGGAGAGTGTTTTATTCAGTTTTACCTAAGGGTCTAGACATGACTGAGCTTGTCTGAGAAACCTTGTTACTATAAGTACTTTCTGAAATTTTGTGTGTAGATGGGTCGTGATATCCATCATGTGTTATCAGGCTAGGAAAGAGGGGATTATGAGAAATTTGTTTTCGAAAAGGGCATTGGATCTGATAAGACAGAAAAAGATTATCTGGACAAACAATGCCTGAAGTTTCATTGGCTACTTTCAGTCGTGATGGGAGGAGGGGCCTAATCCAACTGGAGAGAAGGATATCTGTTCCTTAATTGGGGAGACAACCTCTTTCTTCCATGCTCTACACAGATGGAGCTTGAAGCCATCTTGCTACTATGAGGGGACAAAGCTACACAACAAGGGTTCCTGAGCAGTGGGGCCACAATCCTGAGACACACCTCTGGAGCCTTCCCCCTGTATGGACTTTGGTATGTAAGACAATATATTTCTTAATTCTGTAAGCCAGTTTTAATTGTGTTTCCTGGACTTAAAGCCAAATGTACTTTAACTGTAAAGAGTGAGGGTTCACATTATAATCTTCTCTGAATCATAACAATTTTTTTAAACACCATGCACTTTGTATTATTTTGATTTTTTTAAATAAAATTTTAAGAGATCCTTGTTGTTTTCATAAAGGACCACCTGATGTAGAGATTAATCTTTCTCCTATGCTTCATAAAAAATGAGAAAAGTTTGGGTTCTTGGAATTTCAAAGACTAAATCAACCAGTTGATTTAATCCATTTAGTTAAAAAATCAATTAATTCTGTAAAAGTTTAGAGATGTTAGATCTTTTAGCTATCACAAGGGTAATCAGTGCTTTAAATGGCTTATTTCAGTTCCTAATCAGTTGTGTGCCATCATGCAGATAGGGTATTATAACATTAGAATTTAGTAACTAGTAATATTGTACCAAAATGTGATTGTGCGGCCAGAACTCAATGAAGCAATTTTCAATGCCCTATAAATAGCAAGACTCTTTGCAAAACAGAGGGTCATATTCCTGGCAAACGTGTCATAGCTAATGTCCACCAACTGACTAATGTTCATTAGCATTCAACACACTCACAGATTGTCTTTCCGTGGGCACTTCGACTCTTAATTTATAGTTCTTTGTGATGTAGGAGAAATAGCATGTTCTCTGAGGCCAAACTTGGGCTGAAATCCCAACTCAGATGCTTATTAATGCAGTATTAAGTACTTGATGCCTCTAAGCTTCAATTTCTTCATCTGTTAAACAGAGATGGAAAACCAAACTATATAATTAGATTGTTATGTAGATAGAATTTATATGTAAAAAAGCTAACAATGTGCCTTCACGTATGAAGAAATGAATACATGTTACTTGCCTTTCTTTCCTTTCCCCTAATTTTCCTTGATAGAGGTTCTCAGAACCAGAATAGAAGAGTGAACCTAAGTATGACGTGAGAGAAAGGATATTCAGAAACTTCTATGAATGTCTGGTAAGCTGGTGAGACTGGCCGTCAGAGACCTATTTACATGGTTCTGAGAAGTCTCCTGGGAAAGAAGGCAAGATTTGTGGCACTGGGAGCAGACACAACTGAGCATGTGTGGGGTACTGTTGGGGCTGTACAGCAGCAGTCAGGAGCTGAGATCCCTCTAGGTTAGGGTGGGGGAGTGGGGGCCACCCCGGCATAGATCTTATTGTCAGAGGGAAGGTGATACAGTGAATGTTGATCACAGTGTTTTGTTCTATTTTCCCAGTCACTGTCTGAGTTCTAGAACAAAGCATGTAAAAAAGCAAAAAACAGTTTTTCACTAAATTCTACAACTCATTTAGAGATGGGCATACAGCTCAGGATCACCTCAAACAAAATGCTGCCCAAGGCTATTGAAGTCATTCTCTGTCCTCTGAGTCCCTACTTCCGTGCCCCACATAGGACAACTCTAGCACCATAAGAGCTCAGAGAGTTGGTGATGGGGCTGGAGGACCTATGGGGACCCAACAGACAGGGGATCAGCACTGGTTGACCTGCTAAGGTGCTGCCAGCCGGGAAAAGCAGCAGAAGTGACCATGGTGCACAGAAGAGGGAACAGCCGCATTGGGGAGCAGGAATGAGGGCCCAGGTGTCCAGCTCCATATGTGAGACACAGGCCTGCAAACTACAGCTGGGGGTAGGCTTTAAATTATTTTATCACTTTTTTGGGCATGAAGATATTCAAAGAATGATATTTAGAAATCATTGCAACTCATAATTTCAAAAAATTATTTATGGGAGTATATATATTATGTACCAATATAACTTACCCCTGAAATTCATTTACTTTATGATTGCATGTATATTTTAGCATCTGGAAATTCTAAAAATCAAAATGTTGAACATTCGCATTCCCTAATGGAAAGAAAGAGCGAAACGAACAATTGTTAGTTTGGAGTTGAGGTGTCAGCTCAGGTAGACAATGTGGACCAGGACCTCGAATCACATCTTGGCCACATAACCATGCTCAGCCACAGGGATAATAATCTCAATGCCATTTATTGAGTGCTTGCTCTATGCTAACTCTGAGCTACTCGTTTGGAATATAATATGTCGTTTACATATGTCTATGTACAACAATAGCCCTGTGGGGTGGGCGTGATTATTCTCATGTTACAGATGGGGCTCTGAGGACTTAAGTGACTTAAGTCACGTGGTTGTTTGAGCAGATGAGTTGAGATTTAAACCCAGGTCTTTCCAGCTATAAACCTGTGCTCCAAACCACAATCCGGTGTTTCTCATCACAAGATCATGTCTGATTCTAGTTAAAATGTTGATTACTGGGCCCACTTCCAGGTCTTTAGACTGGCAGCATTGGCACTAACTGAGAAACTGCTAGAAATTAAGTGTCTCAGGTCCCATCCCAAACCCACAGAGTCGGAATCTGCATCTTAACAAGACCCCAGCAACTTGTATACACACTAAGGTCTGGAAAGCCAGGCCCTATACTATATTTGCCTTCTCTGCCCAGGGACATTTCAAATATATCCATTTAGTATAAAAGCTGTAGTTAGTTCACTGCCTAAGATCATCTCGGGGCTTTGAAGAAAGACTAACCAACGCAAAATTTATTCATTTCTCTTTGTGACTGGATTTATATGATATCAAAACAATTGGTTGAAAAGTGCACAATTCAGGCAGGCAGATCATCTGATACCATGGTTGCCCCAAAGACTCTTTTAACAAAAAATCTACATTTCAAAAGAAATGACCCCATTCACAGTAGTTGTGTGAATAGCTACAGCCAGCATCTTTCTTTAAGACAAGGCCAAGAGGACCACTCCACCCCTCTCTTGCCCTCCCCCACCATAAAGTTAACTCAGCATGAAGTCAGGCTCACATCAACTGGTTGAAGACTGTTTGTCTAAAGAAACAATTCCAGGACAGATTATATGCATAAGAGACTCTGCTTTTCCAAGGGATCCAGAAATGTTTAGCTTTGAGTAACCTCTTTACAAAATCCAGAACAAAAAGCTGTGCGTTGCTGAGCATCTAAACAGTTTACATTAATTGCGGCAAAAGAAGTCATTTTTCTCATTGTTGTTCCTGGCATCTGGGAACCTAAGAACATCTTATTACCTAAGAACATTGTGAGGGAGAACTTGAGTTAATTTGCTCCTAAGATGACAACCCACGTAACACCTAGCGTACGTGCTTTGCAAAAGAGTTCAAAGGTTTGGTTTAAGACCTGTTCCTGGATGAGAAGGAATGAAACTAATTACCAGAGAATGGTAGTGATAATTAAGACAGTGTTATGATTCACTGAGAAAAACCTGGGTTATGAACAACGAACACTGTGGCATATAAATTACCTGAGAGCAGAGTTTAATGATGTGTTCTCTCTTATTAATTGCTCATTTGGTGACGTGATCTATAAAAGTTATTTTTTAAAAGAAACAAAAGAAGTCCACTGTCTCATCGCAGCCTAGGCAAATATTACACATTGCAGAATTTTATGACCTTGGAGCATCTTTACCTAACCTAGCATTTATCAGCATGAACTGTAATTGGGTTTTATATTTTTGCATGATAATCATGAGATACGATCCCATAGGAAACGTCCATAACTCTAAACAGTCTTCTATTAAACAGCATAAGTTGAATTTTATAATTTAGCACACTGGTTATGTTCACTAATTCATGTAAAGTGTTTTCATCTTTGATATTGTCTCTTCTAAATCAAATCCAAAATGAAACTTATTTCTTCTGGATTAATATATTTTGGGCCATGGATTGGATTTACATGCACCTGCTAAAACAGACTGCAATGAACCGGATATGATCATTTTGGCCATCTTCCCAAACAATCCCAATCACAGAGTCTAAATGCCAGATGGAATGATACAGTGGCCATGATGATGGGATCACAGCTCAGTCAATCAGCGAGTGTAACTGACATCTATCCAGCTTCACCAGCTGGTGGGTGAGAAAAAGTATTAACATTTACAACAATGTTTCCTAAATTTCAATAGCCCTGCCGCTCCCCCCAAACCTGTTCACAGAGGTAGTCCATTTCCTTTCAGAGATGCTCGTCCTCAAATATTTCTGAATGTTTTTAGGGGGGCTTACAGGTGTAACCCAAAATGTCCCTGGTCCCCACCAGTTTATAGGCTTGGGAAAGTCCGCTCTTTCTCTAAGAGCTTTTGAGGAGGGGGGAGTGGACTGCCTGACACTAAAGCGGAGCCGCTGCTTAAGGCCTTCTGCTCTAGGAAACCCAGGCATCCCTCTTATCTGTTGTTCTGCTGTGCTGTGCCCACTGCTTCCCAGTTTCCCCTGGAGCCCTGAGCTCTGTGTCCTGATGCACCACAGTCTCTGTAGCTGCCAGTCTCCTCTGGGCCACCTACCTCTGCGCTGCCTCCATCTGGGCTTCTGGTGATCTTTCTCCACACAGTAAGGAAACTGACATTCCTTTCTTGTGTCAGCCTCTCTCAGAGAACAATCTCAGAGTAGAGAAGTGTAGGACCCTGGCTGACAAGTTTCTGTTTCATTTAAGAAGTCTTTTCCTTCACAGAGCAAAACCTCATACTGTATGTGAACCACTGCCCCCAATACTCACAAACGCTCAGATGCCAAGGGGATCAAAGGATGGGCTTTACTAAGGCTTGCTTGGTAATGTTCAAAATGCATGGCTCTCTATAAAGGTGGAGTGGAGAACTGAAGTGACATCTGAGGTCAGCACGCAGCTTCCCACTCTCTCCTTCATGAATTAAAGATGGCTGAGTCTGCAAGTTAGAGGCAGCCTGACTTATCTACCCAGTCATCGGTCAAATTAAAAGAGTGGATGCATTGTGTGGGGGATGCAGTGGAGTGGGGTAAGGAGGAAAAGGAGTGTCATGTAACTCCATGGTGTGGCAGCTGAGTCTAGGCTCTGTCTAAAAAGAGCCACTAAGCTGCAACAATATTTATGATCCATTCACTTTGTGAACATAG